AAGGTATCATCGTTCCAACAAAAATCAAGCTAACGAGTCAAGAAAACTCCAGTAAAGCCAATCGACAGCTGTTCAAGAAGAATCCGTCTTCTGGTGGAACCGAACACCCAACACTTTCACTCGAAATGGAAGTAAGCTCAACAATCTAAATCTAAATCCTTTATGAGTCGTCTTTATCCGAATATCTTATGCTTGGATTCGGCTGTGATACGGAATAGACTGTGGAAAGTGTCAGCCCTACCTGTCAGAATTAAGTAATTAATAAAAGCTTTTCTTCGAGTGCAGCCCAATAATATAATTACTCATCCAGATCACTTAGAGTGATTCAACGACATGTTGCAGAGTTTTCCCAACAATTAAATTGGTAAATGTAGTTCATTAGCTTTGTTTTCCTATTTATTATCTCATCCAGTCTGATCTGCAGTTTTAACCTCATCACCAGTTTGGACTGACTAGGTCATGACTTCCGGAAGCCGTAATACTGAATTGGTACCCTGAAAATATGCCATTTTCACTGTGTTTGAGATGGAAAGTTAAGGATTAAAATGCATTTTTAACTCGGTAGGAATAAAGACGGCGTACCAAATTTCTTGTCCTGCCTCATACACCTTGTACACTGGTTTTCTGTGTGTATTGAATCGACTTACAAATGGTTTATGAGGCTAACCAGTTGCCAACGCCGAAAGCTGACTCGAAGAGACTGGTTGATGGATGACGCCGGGCTTGGAGACGGAGGGATCGGGAAAAAAACACGAACCCACGTCTGTCCTCATTATGAGTTTAGCCCCACCCTGAGCCGACAATGTGGACAAGAATTAGTTGGTTCTCAGACATACAACCAACGGTTGAACGGTCAAGCGGAATCCCGGTACAGTGACGGGAATGGGAAGAGCGAGCACGATGGAGTGGGGTAAGCAGACTCAGGCCAGCTTGGTAGAACAAGATCCAATGCCCCTCTTCCAAATAGGTGCATCTTCGAACCACGTTTCCACGTACCAACAGGTCAACCTTGAAACTCCACCTACAGTCCGGGTTGGCTATTCTGCATGTCTGCGCTTTGGATAATTCGTCGATTTGTTGAGCCGCCTCAGTCAGTGTGAGTTTGACTGTTTTGTGGTTGGCGCACACAAACACATGTGCTAAAGGATGAACGTCCGTGAAGGACATGTGTAGATGGTTCATACCAACTCACATGCCCTCCTCCGTCGGAATAGGGAACGGAAGGGGGCTGGGGACACGCATGTTTTTCAGGTTTCAATGAGTCCGACGGATGTTGATTACGCCTGGTCATCTGCTTCGGTCTCTTCTGCCTATAGTTTCCGCTCGTCTGTCCTCATGTGCGCCTGCCCGCCCCTCAAGCAAGCCGAGCGGACGACTGTATGCTCCGAGCGGAATGTTCCTGATCAAAGCGTTCGTCTGTCTGGGATCCTCTTGGGATACCGACTTGAGCCCACCGGTCTGCATGATGGAGACCACGGGTTGGCGATCATAAAGACGGGTAGCAAGAACGAAAAGTCAGCTGAGGCAGCCGAAAAACTGACCTGTCTTCGACTTGACAACATGTGTCTTATTATGACGCTTGAGAAAGTGCAGGCTTAAATTGAGATATATTTGGGAAATTTGCTGAGAAATGATCATATTTTCAACAAATCTATTTGTTTGCACTTGTTGAGCTTACTTCCATTTTCGGCGAAAATGTGAGCAGAATAGATTTTGACACTTGATGCCACCAGAAGAAGACTGACGAACAATTCTGGCAAGTTATCGTTTGGCTCTACTGCAACGCTCTGGTTGAATCTGTCCTCGAGTCAATTTAAGTTGAGTTCAATTAAAACTTGCAGGGCTTACGTTTGTCATCCACGAGATTTCATCAAAACTGTTGAAGAATACGGACAGATCTACTAACCTTTCATACATAATGTATACATTTTTGCGAAGTATAAAGCGACTTTACTAGTTCTTCTAACTCGCCAATTTAAAATCATGTAAGCGAGTAGATGTGTATTAATGAACAATTGCATAGCAAGAAGTTGTTTGACCTTGTTTTCACAACTCGGTCATATTGGTAGGAAGACTTAGAGGAATACACCTTGTCCGGAGTCCATTGTATGCATCATTATTTCCAGAGTAGGACCGTGGACGTGGTACATTCCCAG